TTAATGAAAAGGTATCAGAAAATTTCCAGCAACTTAGTCTTGGAGGTTTGGATTTCCTTGAATTAATCCAATTTCTTATTGTGATCATAACAGAATTCCGATCGACGAGGATGAAAGCCAACAAATTAGATCCAAAATCGCCAACACCACTACGCCAACAAATTAGATCTAAACCGCCGCACCAAAAAGCTGTTCGATGAAGATGAAAGCCGCACGGGAGGAAAAAGTCGTTGAGTGCGTCGAGTTGAATGTTTTCGAGCACTGTCAGGATGAACACCGCGCGGAGTGTAACCATCGTCGAGCGATAGTATGGTGGGGGTAAAGAGAGATGTTGCTATGGATCTGTTGGGGGCTCACGACGCGCAACAATAGCGACATCACCGCTCATGACTCCGGCAGCGTGGTGGGATGAATAAAGACTCTGTTGCGAATCCAGTAGGGCTCGCGACGTGCAGCGAAGACATCTTCGCTCACGACTCGCTGTAGCCACGATATTGTCGCTTGTCATCGTCGCTACGGTGGTCCGACAATATTTTTCGTTGGTTGGGAGAGGGAGGGAGGGAGAAGAAAATAAGAAGATAATTAGGGTTTTTGGTGAGTGGTTGGGATGTATAGGTAGATATATATATTAATTTAATTTTATAATATAATTATTAATATTAGAAATTTGAATTATTATTTGATTTTTGAATAAAAAACATATAAATCTTATTTTTAAATTGTGAGTTGAAAGTGGATGTAATTCCGACTTATATCGCTATGTTGTGTTATGGGCTCACCATTTCCTAGTGAGTATCCGTCATTAATACTTGACGTTGCAAACAAAAAAAAAAAAGGATTTTACTATCTCCTGACAATGGGGGCATGTGTCCAATTAAAAAAATTGCGAATCCCTATTGTGGGGCGGGGCGAGGTCCGCAGGAATTGAATTTGTCGAATTTTTTTTTCATCCCTAGTACGAGCTCGGCTTAGCCCACGAGCTCGTGTTTTTTTATTAATTTTTTTAAGCTCGAGCTCGTCCCGAAACGAGTTCGAGTCGTCGTTGAACCACGTTTTGACTAGCCGAGCAGACGAGTTACTCGACACTTTTGTCACCTCTACTTGGGGGCTGTAAATCCTGTATACACGTGGCAGCCGTCGTTGAACCAAGTTTTGACTAGCCGAGCAGACGGTTACTCGACACTTTTGTCACCTCTACTTGGGGGCTGTAAATCCTGAATAAACGTGGCAAAACCCATGAAAAAAATTTAAATATTCTTTTCGTGTCAAATTTGTCCCAGTGTATTATCACCAATAACCCACCTTCTCTCAGGCTTTCCTCTTCTTCCACTCTCTCAAATTCTCCACCTACAAAATTCTCGAAGATTCGGTTCTTTTCTTCATCTGAGCTAGTCTAATCGGTAAGATTATCCTTTGCTTCACATCTTTCATGTCCAATCGGTTAATCAAAGTAACTTCTATATTGTTTTCGGGTTTTATTAATGTTATTATTGTTGTTATGGTGATACTGGCGCCAATCGCTTTAAATTTGTTCGAGGATTTAAATAATTGTTCCGATCTTTCGTTTTTCGAAATTTTGATATATTATTTACTGATTTTGTTAATTTTCATGCCGATTCGGCGGGCTTTGTGCAGTTTGTTGCACTATATGCTTCCTAGAAAGAGACC